ACCGCCTCCGTCAGGGCTTCCCGCCCTCCGCCCTGGCGAAGGCAAAGGGGGAGGAAAATATCACTTTGGAGCCCCAACGGTACCTGACCTCTCCCGGGAGAGCTCAGAGGGGATGGAGGACGTGCCCGGCACGGGGCAGCTCGCTCGTAAGGATGCTGCTGCCTGTAACCCTCATCCCCTGGGCCAGGCTCCAGCCCGTGTGAGCGCTGGTGCTGTCGAGGAGGGCATTAAACACCCGCTCCCCGGGGTTTATCAAACCTTAGAGGGATGGAAAGGATTTCTTTTGGCTTGCTTGGGAGCAAAGACCAAGGCCAGGCTTTTCGGAAGGGCTCAGGGCTCATTTCCCTGGGCTGGTGGGGGGAAGCGGTGGGGGGTAGTGGGAGGTGATTCTGCCTTCCTCTGCCTTCCTCTGCCTTGTTCCGCAGGGTCTGCTAGCACTGAGCTGCTCATCTGGGCTCCAAATGGCAGCATGCCCGGCTGGACAGACCCTAAGGCTCAGAGGATCAACCTGAACATGGGAAATAGTTTGTACTCTCTCTCCTTTCCTATTTTTATGCAGCCTCAGAGGCTCGGCTGGAGGCAGAGGGTACGGCGTTTCGGGTCCCCATCTGCCCCAAGAGCACCTCGGACACAGGCCACGTCCAAGGGTGGGAGCCACGGACCCCCGGCACCGGGAGAGCTCACGGGGAAGCATGACTACAGTCCTGTGCTGCTCATGGACACCCCTCGCCAGGAACCCATGGGAGACAGGACCTTCTGGTCTACAGGACAGCCATTCTTACACAAATGAGCCATATTACAGCTGGGGGATGATTTCCACACCAGCAAATCATGATAAGAAGATATTCTGTTCTGCTTTAGCCTGGCTCAGGCAGAGAAATCTGGTGTTTGAGCTATGAACCCACGGAGAAGTAACACCCTGGAGCCAGAATCCTTAATCCAAGTCCCACGATTTAAGAGAAAGCTGCGTTAAGAGAAACCGCACACACAACCCCCCCCAAATCCCACTGCCTTTGGGATTTGGTTGGACGGTGCCCACCCAAGGACTGAGGCTTGAAGGCAGGGATGAGGATATGGGAATGGTGGTGGGGAAAAATATGCTGCTCATATTAAGGATCAATTAAGATGGTGGCAGGGAAAAATAAATTGCTTAAGATAAGTTAAGAAGGAGCTTATATGGTTCAAGGACTGGATACCAGGACATAAACCAGCAGCCTGCGATGGCCAGAAACCACAGACCTGCTGAAATGAGGCTCTTTTACTCTTCTCTTCCCAAACTACCCAGTTTCCAGCTGCCTCCTGATTAAACTGGGTGCAGATATCTCCAGCACTTCATCCCACCACATCTCTGGTAGCACGGAGAAGATGGTGGGTTTGGTGGAGTCAGAGTAAATCCCCAAACTGCCCCAGGGGATGCGAACCCCTACCTGCCAATAACACATCCTGGAGGGGAACTATCAACACGTTTTCCTCCCAAAGATGCCTTTATGCTGACGTGTTGTTTCTCTAAAGATGTATTTCAAGCAAATATTTCATGCAACTATTCAAAATATTTCTGAGGTTCAGCCGAAGCCATGGAAAAAGCCCAAGATTCCCATTAATAAAATGATCCCTGGATGGGAGCAAAGCTGGGTCGGGGTCCAAACATGAGATAGTCCCCCCGAGCCAGGTGCTCCGCGGCAGGGGAAGCGCTGGATCGGCGTGGGGATGCTTGGCAGCTTCGGGTGCCATCCGAGGGCATCTCAATCCAGCGGTCCGATGCTGCTGGAGCCTGTCCGGTGCAGGGAAGTGTTGCTGGGGAGCTCTGCCAGCTGAGTCTGCAAAACCCTTGTGAAAACACTGAGCTGTTGCAGCTGCATCTTTGGCAAAAGCGTCTCTGATTCTTTGTACCAGAGAGGCTGAACTCCCTACCCCTAACTTGCAAAAAAAGAAAAAGGCAGGTGGGGATTTTGGAGGCACAGCTTTGAGAAAAGGGACGTGGCAAATACCTGACTCGGGAATCAATTCACTGACAGGTCCCCCAAATCGCTGATGAAAAGATAAACCCTCCCACCAGCGCAGCGCAAGGCATCCCGGTGGGGCTGCGGAGGAGATGTGCCACCTCCGCGCTTAAATGATGCAGGATCAGGCCCAGAGCAGCCAGAGGGATTTGCTCTGAGAAGTTTCTTTCTTAGGACATCCCATTTATTAACCGGTTTTCGATTCTCTTCCGTGTTTTGAAAAAAGCATGCGTGTGAGCGCTATGGGGCACGGAAAAAGAAACCACTAGAAGACAAATCCCAAGTGATCCATCTCATTTTCCACGTCCCTCGCTAGCTCCCCTGCAGCCAGCTTTCCCCCCCGTTATTTATGAAACCCTGGACCCTTCAGAGGCATCTGCCCCCACGGATATCTGCAAACAGGGAGTCTCCACCGGAGCTCAGCTGCAGAAACCAGGGCCCCAGCGCTATCCGAGTAAGACAGCACCACTAAAAGCAAACCTCATTTATTTTTTTTTCCCCTGCGGTTCAACCCGAGACAGAAGGGCAGCTGCACTGTAAGCCAATATTGATAGTAAGGGCTGCACGGTTTCATACCAGCGAGGCCATTAGATATATTATTAGGCAGCACAACCCGGGCTCAGGAATCCCAGGCTGTGGGATTCCAGCTGGAAGGCTCCTCCGTGCCCTAATCCCCCCGGTAAGGTGGGGAAGCGGGACAGCCTGCCAGCTCTCCCCGTTACATGAGCTGCCCGGGGCCGAAAACGCTCAGCCGCCTCTTTGCCAGGCTGCCGGTTCTCATGGGGGATCGCGTTTGAAAAGCGGAGAAGCGAGATATTGTATTTCACGAGGCTGTTTTCCAGCTTTTTTGGTGGGGGGAGAGAACGGCGTGGTGTTAAGTATCGTCTCTGAATCTGATGCACTCGTGTGTTCCCACTCACATCTGGCCTCCCGTTACCAGATGTTGGAAATCCTCCTCCACGCTCACGTCAAGCCTCAGCATCTGGCCCCGTATGTGACCTCCACTAAGTCCCATGAGTGGTTCTCTCTTTACCTGGACCAGTTTGTCGATCCCAAGAGCTCGATCCAGCTCGGCCAGCTCCGTCTCGTCTTTGCCGCTGAGGAAGGAGACGAGCTGCTCGAGCAGGGCTTTCTCGTCGTTCCGACCCTCCGGCGTGGTGGGAGGACACAGGAGCTCATCCAGCTGCGAGGTGATGCACTGGCTGCAGAGAGAAGAAGTCAAGGGGAGGCATGTTAAGGTTTATGAAGCAGCGAGGAGGCCGAGCTGGGAGATGCTGGAGCGACACAGCCCCTGCAGCCACAGGGACTCGCTCCCACCCCGCCGCATCGTGCAAACCCCACGGGATGCAGCCTCGTCCCCCGGCTCCAAGCCTTGAGCTCAAGCTCAAGCCCCGTGCCGAAACCTGCTTGTAAGGATGAACCTCTCCACAAAACGAAGCCCGGACAGCGTTTCGGTGAGGTTTGGGAGTAAAACTTTGGTGCTTTCGCAGGCTTTGCTCCCACAGAGTTTTGGGCAGGACAGCGGGAGGCAGAGCAAAACTTCAGCCGGCACGAAAGCAGGGAGGCTTGGATGGAGCCGGAGCAGCTGGAAGCAAAGCAGCTGAAGGCAAAGGGGAACCTTTGAGCTGCAAAAATAAGATTTCTGCAAAGCTCGCTCAATATTCTTTGGGAATAAGATTAATATGTAATGAGAGACATTCCAATGACGTGACTAATTGGAGTCAATCGGATTTGCCGGGTCTGACACGATGAAGAGAGCCATGGCACATCACGCTTGCAGAGAGGCACAAAGGCGAGGGCTCGAACATGCCAGCAGTTCCCAAGCAGCAGACATGTTTATCCTTTTAGCTCCAGATGAGGACCAGATGTACAGTAAGGAACTGAAGCCAATCTGACTGAGACCGCTGCAGCCAACACACGCAGCCTAATCCAGGGAAAAGAAATACTCGGCGCTGGGATTTCTTAAATTGCAGAGCGGGAGCAGAGAGGGAAACGAGGAGACAGAGGTGAAAAGCAGGGCTAGTTTCACTCCGTAGCCAAGGTCCCTGCTACTTGCTGCTTGTATCAAACCCAGTTTTTCAGTGCCAAGGACAAAGTTAGCTGCACAGACATTGTTCTTGCAGAGGAAGGGGAGGACAGGCTTCTTCTCCACATTAACAGGCAGCTAGAGGAGAAATTCAGGTTGGCACCACCTCTTCAGCCCATGCCGGACTTCTGCATGGATGCAAAAGTTGGTTTATAAAGAGATCGTGGGGACAATACAATCTTTATGTAGTAAATAAACCTCCAGCGCGTCCTGCTGTGCCGCCCAATCCAGCTTGCAGAGCCTTCCCCGCTCCTCCTCTCCTCCAGCACCATGCCATGGGGGGGTTCAGATGAGTCTCCAGGCAGGTGACGGGCGAGCAGAGGAGATCCTGGACCCGTGCATCATGTCCCCAGTCACATTGATTTCATGTTGCAAAGGTTTTCTATCCACTGCTACCTTTCAGGCTTTTTTTAAGGTGAAAACTCTGATTCTGCTTGCGGTGAGGAGGAGAAATTCAGCTACTTGCAGAGATGGTGTCAAATGCTGCTTGAGGTGCCGTAAAACATCTCCCTGGCATGGCTTCCAAGCACTGCTCTGAAAGGGTGCAGGTCTCTGCTCCTGCACAGATGTCCTAGAAACCCCAGGCATCTCAGATGGCACTGGGTGCCAGCGTTGAGGCAACCCAATCAGGCCCCAGGTGGCATGATTGACCTTGGGGGATTAGAGGAACGCGTGCGAGAACAGCGACCTGGACTTGGTTCGAGAAGCCTTGGACCTGGCCCAAGGTGTCCCTCTCCTGCAGAAGACACAAGAGCACTTACGCCTGGGACACGAGAGAGGGGATGTGGTAGTCATCCCACTTTATCAAGAGGCAAAAAGCAGGGGAGGATTTGGGGAACAGGAGAATTTAAAAAGGAAGCTCCCGTTCCCCAGGACACCCGGTGCTGGGAGATCTGGGCACCACCAGCTCCTTGAACAAGGCCAGGACCTCAGCCCGGCTCCAGCTAACGCGAACCTCCCAGCTGGGAAACCTTTACAACCCCCAAAGCAAAAGCTCTGCCAGGTTGATCTTAGCTAAAATGTATTTCTCGGTCCTGTAATATCTGCAGTCTAAAGGCTCTGTCTGCTTTCTCCAACTGTGGTCTCCATCAGGTAGACAGGCAGCTGCTGGGACCGTGGGCATCTCCCAGGACGAGCGTGTCCTCCACAGCTGGAGCACATCTGCAGGTCTTGAGGACCAAAGTCCAGAGGCTTTTCCCCAGCAGAATCCCTTCTCTCAGCTGCAGTGGAAGCAGGGTTTTGTAGCTGATCACCATGTGCGGTGGATGGAAGTGTTTAGACCCCACCAAGATGCTGCCAAGGCAGGTCTCACCCATGATGCTCCATCAGACCTATGGTTACTGAAGATACGAGAGGGAACTGAGCTGGGAACCAGCTTCTTCCAGCATTACCTCTGCCTACCACCTCCAGCAGGAACAACCCATGCCCGGAGACCCCAGTTCAGGAGGAACGGAGGCTCACCACAACAAGCGGACCTCTACCTCTCATCTTGCTGTCATCTTGTGGCCTCAGTCCATGTGTTGGCTTTACTGGTGGCTTCCACCACATCTCCACTTCATGGGAGCCCAACCTTGCTGCAGGGACCTGACGGCGCCATGGGAAGTCCCACCACGCAGCATGGTTTTCCTTGCTTTCTCCCCTCTCAATGCTGAGAAAATCAAATACTACCCTGTAAAACCCTAACCAGGCCAATTTTAAAGTGTGGTTGAAGTTCCACCAGCTGTTGAGTCCACCACTCTCCAAAGGCAGGGATTGTGCGAGATTTGTTACCTCCACATCTCACCAGGCTTTGGGCAGATGCCACTGCTCCACTGGTCCGACCTGGTCTCCTGGCAAGTGCCTCTGCCCTGAAACCACCTGAGGTGTTTTTCCCACCTGAGGAGTCACGGGATGCTGCTGCCCAACGCTTCCCTCCTTGACACCTGCGCAGGTCCCAAGCCTTTCATGCCAACCTGGGTCCTCACTCAATAATCCTGCTGCAAAGGGTGAGCCAGAAGAAAATCCAGCTCCCTTCCTCCCAGCTGCCCTGGCTGGGGAGACAAAAATGTCTACAGCCAGCCAGACTGACTCAGCGCTTGGAGCACAAGGCTGCTGAGTAAGGTAAGGTCATTTTTACCCCATAAGCAGCATTTTAAGGAACATACATAGCTTAAAAAACAGATTGATTTTTCTAGCAGCTCTGCCCTTTGCCCCACGGATCTTATCCCAACAAAATAATGACACCAGCAATGCTTAAAAAGAAAGTTCCTTCCTTGCGGCAAGGACTCGGGCTGGTGTAAATGCTCAGTTAAATGGGGATTTGTTTTATCTCCCAGTTCTTTCAAGCAACAAGAGGCCAAGTCTTTCCAGCAGAAGTCCAAGATCCAGTTGCAGCAGTGGAGACCACTTGGGCAACTCTCTTCTGGGGTGAGCGAAGAGCTTTAAGAAATTAATCCAAATTTAGCCCCTAGAAAAAGATGTTTGGCTACTGGCTTGCTCAAATACAACTCTTACACGTCTTCTTCAGGATGGGAAAACAGACAGCCCATCTGCTAAAGACTTTAATTAGCAGAGGAAGTTCTGCCTCTCTGCAAAGCAGGGCTGGGCTTTGGCAAGAGGATCCGTGCAGAGCTCATCAGTGCTGGCTCTTAAACCAGGTACTTGAAGCTCTCCCTGTGGATTCACCTCCCATCCGCATCAAATCCATCTCCATGAGCACTGCTGCCAGCGCGGCTGCCTCAGTGAGGACTTTGGGGTGCCCCTCATCGACTGCCGAGCTCCATCAGCAGGGCTCGCCACCCTTCTGACCTCCCGTCCCAAAATACCTGACCTGCGGTCTCCTCCAACCCGTTTATAGCCAAGGAGTGACGTTGTACTTTGGGCAGGTGATGGCCCCTTGGCTGCTCCATGGGGCACGGACCCAAAAAAGGTGGTTAGATGATCGGAGGGGGTTATTTGACCCTGGATTAGAGCCATAATTTTAGCTGAAGCCAAGCACATGCAGACTGCAAAGAGCTGCAATCACGTGAAAACACTGTCCCATGATTCTCCAGATCCCACCACTGCCCCCGGCGAGAAGGGATGCTGGAGAACACCAACCCAAATACTGGCGCTGGCAAGGGATAGTGGGGACTTGCAGCATCCTTGGCTTTGCCATGGGATTATTCAGGTTCAGACATACGCTGGATGTCTCCCCCCACCCACCTTCCTCATCTACTCACACGATTGTCCCTAGAGAGATAACAGACGTCACCTCTCGCATCGTAGCACCCTGCACCTCCCAGGTCTCCGCACTTTATGGTCCCAGCAGCAACCACCGCTGCCTTACGGTGATGGGCAGTGCTCGTCCCAGCCTGCACTTGCTGGGTTTCCAGGCAGGCAGCAAAGCAAGGACACGTCTCTTTGACCCAGGCAGCTATTCCCAGGACATCCTGATGTTCTCCCGGGAGAGGTCGGGAAGCCGCCAGCCCCACGGTACTTACTCTTCGGGTTTATTCAGCGCGCCTCGATTCATGGCTGCCATGCTGTTATCCGTCCAGGGGATCTGCTCCCCCATTCCTGGCTGTCCAAACTGGTGATCTGGCACCAACATCTCCAGCTCAGGCATTCATGGGGGGAAAAGCAGGATGGGGAGGGGGAAGGGTATGGGTGGAGGAAAGGTTAGTGCGTGGGCAGGACTCGGGTGCTGCCGTGGGGACCGGGCAAGCTCAGAGCAACGGGATGCCAACGGTGTCCTAAAACATCCCTAAAAGGGAAGCTAAGATTCACCAGTTACGGCTCTTTTCAACCCAAAGTTACAGATATCAGGTGTGGTTTCCTAACCATTAATTATAGGCGTGAAATTCTGGGCGAAAATCTAGGCAGATACTGCACACGCAGCAGATATATATGACCCTGTGTACTCAGTATGTGCAAATGCTATTAAAAAGTTTCCCTTTTCAGCACATTTCTAGCAAGAGTTTCAAAATTTAGTCAAGTTAGAGGGTTTCTTCTTGAAGGCAAATTGTTACTACCGAAGATTTTAGCTTAAAAAATAGCCCCCACCCATTAGCATCTTCTGCTTCTCTTCTGGAGAAAAGTTAATTTGCGCAGGGAAAGGAGCCAATGCAATTAAATTAAGTTGTAGCAGAACTTGGAGCTCAAGCCCAGGACAGAGAGATTTACGAGGCTGGAGACTTTACGTCATCCCATTTGAAACAGCAATTGGGACTGAAGATCAAACAGCATCTCAGCTGAACCGGCCCGCGGAGACCCAGGGAGATGGAAACCAGAGCGGTAAGCACATTTCTGGCCGGGGCGGCATCTCTGCCACATCGGGATGTGCTATTGGTGGCCGCCCCCATGTCAAAACCCCCTGAGTTTCTAAGAGAAGTGCTGATGAAGGCGGTCGCTAAAGATGAAAATCTCTCTTCTTTTAACCAAGCTCAGTTGTGCTGACTCTTTTCCCAATAAAATACGTTATTTGCTTGAAAACATCTGTGGTTACCCAGTGCCTGGTGTCTTTGCTGTTGTCACAAGGAGCCACCGGCTTCACGTGCCACCTGGACCATGGGGTTTGTTTCAAAAAAGGAGAAAATAAGAGCCCTAAGGGGAGGGAGGGGAAGAAGGTCCAGCCCGAGGATGCTCAGCATCCCAGCGCACACACCGGCACGGCGGCTCCTGCCAAGCACTCCTCTATTTCTCCAAACTTCTTAAAAAAAGCCTTAAGGTTGCTTGGCAACAGGCGGGCCTGTCCCCGGGCCACCCGCGGCAGCCCCAGCCGGGCCGGGGAGGCTCGTGGCACGGTCGCTGTGCAGCCGTCCCCAATCCTCCCTCGACTCGCCCGACAACGGTCCCCAGGCTCATCGATGCTGAAGATTGCAGATTTTCCCAAGCAGAGCATCATTTACCGACGGCTCATTTACGGGGCTGTGGGTGACCCTCATCGAGACAGCCGGACCCGGCCGTGGCTTAACAGGTATCAGGGCAGGATGTAAAATAACAATATTATATAGCTGCAAGCTGCTGTGACGATGCAACGCGCAGCGCTGATCTCTGCCTCCCCTCCTGGGGGGATGAAAGCTCTCGTGTGGTGCTCTCCTTCTCAAGAGAAGCTGCCCAAACCAAGAGCTTCACGTGATTCAGGGGGACCGGTTGTGTGCAGGGCTAGCCGGAGTTACGAGCATCCTGCATCCGTGGGCTGGTGGGGAGCGTGGCAGTCCCGCCCCGTGAGCGGGGCCAGAGCTGTGCTCCAAGGTGAACGGTGTGTGAGATGCAGGGCTGATGCTCTCCTGGAGCCTGGCCACCGTCAGAGAGGGGACAGAGGATGAATCCAGCAGCTCCTCTAGTCCCACGCTAACTGTCGTGAGAAGATGAGATCTGGCTTATTTGCTTTCTGCACCTGCAGTCAAGCCGTTGTACAGCCCCTGTGCACAGCGGCAAGCAAGGTCCCTCTTCCAGATCGTGTTTAGCATCGCTTGATGCATCGAGGGAAGCATCAAGGGAAGCAGAGGAGGGCAGAGGAGCAGCATCCACAACCCTCCGGAGCCCAGGCTGCTGAAATGGCTCACGGCGAGGTCTGCAGTGTTTTGCCATCGGCGATTTCAGCCAAGTGAGGTGAGACTGTTGCTTCTGCAGCTCTTCTCCCTACACACCACCCGTGCTCCGGGTCTCGTGGAAATTAAACCTCAACCAGTGCCAGGGGAGCCTGAGCTGCTGTCACCGCCCCGGTGAGGGGGATGCAGCCTCCTCTGACTGCCTCCCTGGGAGCTGGGACGGACAGAAAGGTCTTTCTTTTGTCTGAAACTATACCGACGCAAAAAGAGAGAAAAGAGTAAGCACAGCCTGGAAGCTCGCTGCTTGTGAGAAGCTAGTGGTGAGCAGCGATGCTCGAGCTCCACCCTGCGACTTCTTTTCTCCCGTGGGACTCCCTGGAAAGCCTTAGTGTAACCCGGAGAAGGTGGAGAGGAGCGGATGCCTGCGGCTGTACGTACCTGTGTCGGGTGGGAAGGGGTTTGGTGCGGTCACCGTGCCCCTGC